GGCTCTGCGGTCCCCAAGCTCAGGCCTCCGGAGACTCTCGCCAACTGGGAAATGACCAACTCAGAAATGACCTTTACTCCCCCTGTACCTCTCCCGCCCCGGGAAGCCTTCCGTTCTGGGCCCATCTGCCCCCTTCCTGCTCAAGACCGCATGATAACTCCTCGCCCACCTGCTGAATGAAACGCAAACTTCCACACTCTGGCCTTCCCCCTTCCGTGTCTTACGCCCCTCTGACCGTCTCTTAGCCGCGCCCCAGCCCACGTCAGCCCCTGTCGGCTGGTCAAGCACATCCTGCATTTCCCCAAGGCAGTGGCTTCGGCTTATGCTGGGGTTTTGCAGAGAATCCCGTTGTTGCTGCCTCTTATCAACAGGAGAAACCGCTCTTCCTCTCGTAAAGCAGCATGTCCCCAGCTGAGGACCTGCAGGTAGGAAGGTGTTTATTCCCCACCCGATCCCCCTGGGTCCAGCTCAGCACCTGGTGTAAACCAGTCAGTGAGCTCTGTTGGATTGGACTGAATGCACAAAGATTTGCCGTGAGCGGGAATGAAGTCCGGGCTTGGGACCAAGCGTGGTGACAGAGACAAGATCACTCCGTGGCTCGGATGTACACTTAGCTAAATTTGCACAGGAGGGCAGAGGGGAAAGGGGGGGCACGCCCACACAGAGCACCTGCTGCCTTGTAACCGGGCGCATCCAGAGCTGCCCTGACTGCCCGCTTCACAGATGGTACCCCGATTCTCAGGAAGGTGACATTCTCACAGCCAGGAAGTGGCCAGTCCTAGCCACTGGGCTGTCGGGCTCCTCCATGGTCGCCCTGCCAGGGAGTTAAAGGCACCATCAATCCTAAAGTTGTGTTTGCTGCCAAGCACCTGGCTCGGGTTTGGTGGGGCCAACCATCCAGCCGATGATGGCCGCACTGGGCCCAGGAAGACACCGTAGCTGGGATGCTGGTGCATCCACGGAAAGCAGCTTCCACTCCGGACCAGACATCCCCGGGCACCACCTCAGCTTCCCCGCACAGCCGCTCACCCTCCTGTGTTCTGACTCTCCAGGATCGGCACCCTCTCCAGACCTGGGGTCCACCTTCTTGTCCTCTTTTGGCCTTAATCCACCAGGTACGAAGTCATCTCTCTCTCTCTCTCCCTCCCCCTCCCTCCGCCCTGGATGTGTCTCTCATCCATGCGTCCTGACACTGCCTTAGTTCAGAGCCTCATCTCTCCCCCCAGGACCCCTCTACATCCCTGCCACTTCCATAATAATCTCTCTAAAGCAAAGTCATGCCACTTTCCTCCTCAAGCTCTTTCAAAGGCTATCACCTTTCAAGATAAAATTCAAATTCAGTAATTTGTTACACACGGCCAGCAGGATATTCAAAACATTGGACGACCCTCCGACCCTCCCGGTTTTTCCTGAATGTCAGTGGGCACCAACCAAAACAAACAAACTCTAACCACGGTGTCCTGAAGGCCCCTTGAGGGGCCGGACGTTAACTCTTCAGTGGCTGGACTGTAGTGAAGGGCAGGGGTCCCTCCAGGGGGACGCTACGGTGGCCAGGGGCGCCTCTGGGACTTGGGTCAGTAGCCAGTTTCCAAGCAGCTTGGAGATATTACGCTGCTTTACCTGCCAGTGCATCCCTGCTGGGTAACTGTTGAGCATCAGCTGTACACACAGCCCACAGCAACCAGCCTCTTGCTAAGTCCCCGCTTCCGGGCACAGCTCCAAAGGCCGCACTCCGGGGACACTGCGGGGTCTTCTCCATATTCCTGCTCCAGGGTCATCTGGTCCCTGGGCGTGAGGGATCACCCTGCTCCTCCACGTCCTCCGCGGCCTGGAGCACTCTGCGCATGAGCATGCTGGCCGTCTCCCCGCCGCCCCTCACTGCAGGGTCTTGGTCTCAGTCCTCACCGTGTCCACCACCCCGGCAAGAGAGCAGAGACTCAGGGTGCGATCCACAGACCTTGTTCAGGTGAGCAGGAGAGTCCTGGGGCCGGGGGAGCCTGCAGTCCTCGACTTGGGGCAAAGCTAGGGAACATCAGTGACTCTCAGGCATTTTCTGTATAAAAACCAAGCACGCACAGCACCCAGCCCCAGCAACTGTCATTGTAAACCCTCCACGGTAAGTTTTGAGCACTAGCTAGACACATGGACACACTTACATATGTGCATTTAAAAATTTTACCCATGCCCATTAAACTATTATGTACATTTAAAAACTAACATTTTGAACAGTGGAAAACACACATTAACGCGTTTTAAAGGATAAGATAATGATACACATAGACGTTCTAAGCTTTTCTTCTCACATCTCTCTGGGCCGCTTTGTGTGTCCCCCACCCTGGAGGCCACTACTGAGATGCTGTGTGCCTTCCGGGCCCTGTAACCACGTCCAGATCAACCTTGTCCTGGGGGCCACTCTGCACAAAATTCTAGGTCTCCACTGAAGCCCAGATCAGATGCTAAAAGCAGATTATTCATATACCTGGAAATTACCTTAAAAGCACATAATGTGTCCTCTATAGAAAAAACATACATAAATAGAAGACGGACCCCTTTATAGCATCCTCTGGAGATGGGAAATAAATATCTAAAAGATCTAGGGGTGCCCAAAATGCCTTTTGGGCTCCCAGTGGACGTTTAGCCATGTCTGCAGACATTTCTAGCTATCACCAAGTGGAGGAGTGCCACCGCCATCCAGCGGGCCGAGGCCAGGCATGTTGTCAAATGTCTTAGAGTGCACAGGACAGCCCCCCGCAACAAAGAATTATCTGGACCAAACACCTGAGAGTACCAGGTCCTCTACTTTGGCGAGGAGGAGGGTCTAAAGGACCTGACCGGCTCCTGCCCCACCCTGCTGGGTAGGAGCTGTGTGATCTTGAGCAGATCACTTCGTTGTACAAGCCGGCTGCTACCTCTGCAAAAGGTTTGGACTCATTCCCCTGCTCATCCCTTTATTCACGCAACAGGTACTTCTCAAGAAATGGGGTACGGCAATGAACTGTATCCCGTCTAAGCCCGGAGAATAGTGAGGTTCAGTAAGGAAACTGATAATTTTGTAATGTGCTCGACAGACCCAGGGCAGTGGTCCAATGTGACAGCACGAGGTAACGGTGGGCCCGAATTCAGTCATGCCAGTTTCCCAGCTGCTGGGTGTCTTTCATCTACACTAAGATGCGCAGGGATGCCTTTTTCGGAGTTTAACGTCTCTCTGCATTCAAACGACTGTGCTTTGCCGTCACATCCAACCATTATTGACGGTAACTGCAGTCATGCAAACTTGGCCAGTAGTCCTGGCACTAAAACCCTGTGGTGGTTCTCAAGATACCACCGACGCATGGCTCAAGGCAGGAACATGAGTCCTGGTGTCTGGGAGCTTTCTGTGGGCCCCTTTTACGGCAGGAGCAAGAACGTGCCAGAATTGGTCCAGATGCTTGCAGATAGCTTGACCTGTTGAAGAACGCCTTTCCCCAGATGCAGCCCCCACCAACCTACTCCCAGTCCTGGTTTCGCCCTTAGGAGACACACAGGCAAACCCAGCTCTGCTCGCCGGCCAGCGGTGCTCAGCCCAGGCTGTACAGGAAAATAAAACAGTGAGTTTTCAAGAACATTGTTACCTCAGCCCCCTGGCACTTAAGTGAAAATCTCTGGAGGTGGGCTCAGGGCATCTGTATTTTTTAAAGCCCCACCCCCGAAATTCTGATTTGCTGGTCTGGCATGCAAGTGCGCTTTGGGCGTGTCTACACTGTTCTGGTGATTCGGAAGTGCAGCCCGGTTGAGACTCACTGAAGAAAGCCTTCCCTGACCACCCCCCAAGGACCCACTGCTTCCTCCTCTGCCTCCTACCGCAGTGCGTCTCGATCTTGGCTGCCTGCAATCCGACCATTAAGTCAGAATTTCTGGGCTGGGGCCCAGGCATCAGCAACGGCTAACGTTCTCTGGGTAAATCCCACGCACGGCCAGGGACAGGAACCACCGCCCTGAGTCCTGCAGCACTTGCCGGCAAATGCCTCCTTCAAGAGGGTCGATCCACACTGGCTTGACGCAGCGTCTCTTTAAAACACATCTACACCACCTGAGACTTACTGTCTGCCTTTTTTTTTTTTTACAGGTTTTATTTATCCATTTGAGACACAGAGATATAGACAGAAAGAGAGAGCATGAGCAGGGGGAGAGGCAGACAGAGCAGGCTCCCCGCTGAGCCAGGAGCCCAATGTGGGGCTCGATCCCAGGACCCTGGGATCATGACCTGAGCTGAAGGCAGACGCTCAACGACTGAGCCACCCAGGCGCCCCTCTGCCTCTTGGTGTTTTTACGTGAGAGACAGCCATACGACTCAGCTTTACCTGCAGGGCTGGGGGACTCTCCATCCTACGAGAACTCCTTACCTTACACGTCACGGGGACGCCACAAAGAATGAAGATGAGCAAATACATGGAAAGATAAATATTTATTTTGTCAGGAACTTTCTGATCACATAGGTGCCGCGGCTAATGTGCCCATTTCAAGGATTAAAGAGATTGCGCCCTTTGAAAATCATTACTCAATAGTGTGACCAGTCAGGTAGAAGTCCTGACACCCCCTAAGTCAGAGGTAGAAACAAACATACAAGGGGGAAGACATTTAGCTCCAAGGTCAAGCTACAGCTCACAGCTACACATTGTTGATTTCCTAGTACACCACGTGGTGGGGAGAAGGGCGGTGGGGGGGGTGGTGAAAGGAATCCCGTGTGGTCTGATAGCTTGTAGAAGCCACTGCTAAATAGGATCTAAAGTTCTTCAGGAATTAATAATCAACAAAGGAATATCATCTGTCACCTTCAAATACCACTTAGGAGCTGCTTCTTGGAGCCAGTTTGCCCTGTGTCCCAGGCCCCCACCACAAATTCAATAATCTCCATATAGCCTTTGTTTTAACATAGTGTTCAGGTACTTCTATGCCTTGCTTAAAAATAGCTTGGGGCACGACCTGGCAAAGCTAGGTTTTTTGAGCACGCGCGCCTGGGGTCACTGAGCCCCGGGGTCTGCGCCCTGTTCTGGGGTTCGGGTGTCCCGCTCCAGGGCTCGGGCGTCCTCTGCCAGCGGCTTGGGCACCACGTCCAACATGGTGGACGAGTCTTTCCGGGGGTTCCCAGTCACCAACATCCAATGGTTCCTCGGCTTTTCCACTCTGTGTGAATCCAGATGTGTGTGAGCAGCCACCTCCACTTCCTTTCCAAAATAGGTACTGGGGCAAGAAAGAACGGACAATGGTTGGAAACAGAGTAGCGGCTCTGGGTGAGTAACTCTGTCCGCCCCGCACCCCAAGCCCCAGACTCGGGCTCGGGGAGGGTGAGCTCTGCGATACGTGCTTGCTTGCCGGATGTTTGACCCTGCTCGGGCAATGATGAGGAGCAAAGGGTCCCATTATAGCTAAAATCCTCTTGTCCGGGACAGACTTGTGGGACATGAGGGCCTCGGGTAGGATTTGTCACACCATCGAGTCCTTTGTGACAACACTTCATCATCAAAGGACTTCTTGTGTGTGTGGCCACACTCTTTGAATCGAGCTGCTTGGGGCACCTGGGTGGCTCATTCAGTTAAGCGTCTGACTCTTGATTTCAGCTCAGGTCATGGTCTCAAGGTCGTGAGATCGAGCCCCATGTAGGGCTCTGTGCTGGGCATGGAGTCTCCTTGAGATTCTTTCTCTGCCTCTCCCTCTGCCCCTCCCCCACCAAAATAAATAAATAAATAAAAATAAGTCAATTGAGCTTCTTTGCTTATAGATACATCCCTCTCCCCTATTCATGGCATCTTGCTGAACCAAGCAACATGTACCTTAAGAATAGGTGTCGGTGGGCTGCCAGTCCCCGATTTGTGTGGCAGTGACTGATGAGAACTTTTGCATTTGCCTTTGAAGATGAAGAGAGTGTGTTATTTGCATTATGAACTAAGGCCTCCAATTCCTAAAGGCAAACATTTGGAAATACACTATATATTCGTTTAAATGTAGTTAAAAAAAATAGAGAGATAGAATAACCTAGAAGCCAAACCATAAGGGATTGGTTACATACAGCATTGCAGGTGCACACAGAATGGAACATTCTAGAATCACTCAGAGCCACACTGGAGAAGATCCTTCACAACGTGAGATATAATCAGTGGTGGAGAAGATAAGGATATTGCTGATGTCCTATTTTGTTAAAAGAATTTAAAATTAAATAAAATAAAAAGACATGCATGGAAAAAGACAGAGATGATAAACATCAGCAGCTTTCTCTGGAAGGTGGAATGAATTACCGGTTATTTGCATATTATTTGTTGTGCTTTTCTGATTTTTCCTTCAGTGAGCATATATATTGTTTATAATCAGGAAAAAAATACATAGTCTTTCAAACTCCTGGCTCATGGAAGCTAAACACTGTGTGAGGAAGAACAAAGCCCTCGCTCACTCCGGTGGGACTTACTCGGCATCAGAGGATGCCCACATCAGACCAGGCCACCCTGCACCCACGAAGGGTCAGAGCAGAAGCAAGACCGCTCTGTGATCGCCTCCAAACACAGACTAAACGTGCGCCTCGTCCAAGCGGCAGACCACCCGACACCTGCCCCTCCCGGCTAATGTGAGCGGAAGCTGCGTCCTGACTAAGGACAGCGGGAGCCTCGCTCGGGCCCCCGCCCCCCAGCTCAGGTGAGCTGAGATGCCCGTCACCGAATTACTCCCACTTCCTGACGGCATCAAGAGCAGGACGCTGCTTCCTGGGAAGCTCCCTGAATCCCCCCACCAAAGCCCAAATTCGGGGACGCGCCGCTCCGTGTGCCTCCAGGCCCGCGGCAGCAAGCGGGGTAGCTCGCTTCTCCAACCCCAGCTGCTCCCAGCGGCTCTGGCTGGAGGGCACCAGTGCTGCAAGGTGGCGAGGACAGGGCTGAGGCTCCCAGGGTGCAAGCGACAGTTGTGTGCACGTGAGGCCTGAGCAAGTAGAGGGGACAGAGCTGCTGGGCCGGCCCAGTGCTTTCCCACAAGCCCGGCCACGACCACGACAACCAGGCTCACGCTTGGGAGCCGCTGGGAGCCAGGCACTGTTCTAGTGAGCACAGTGAACGCACGGACCAAACCTCATCAGGCAGAGACTGTCATCACCCCCGTTTCACGGAGAAAGAGACTGTGAAGCTGAAGGTTGAAATCGTGGAGATGGGAAGCAGGTTCCGGGAGAGCAAAGCATGGCAGAGGTCTGCTCAAGAGAGCAAATGGGTCGGGCAGGCAGCAGTGTGCACTGTGTGTGTACCCTCCGCGCCAGAGGAGAGACCCTGCGGAACCCGGGTCCACCTGCAGAGCTCGGCAGAGAAGCGCACTGTGCCGGGCGGGTGCCTGGGGCCTGGAACTGGGGGGCCCTTTCTGGGTGGCCACCTCCGCTAGCCAACCCTTCCAATCCATGCCCGCTGCAATCCCACGCTCTCCCCGTGACTTCCAACAACCGCTCACTGCATCAGGAGCAAGAGCAATGCCTCTGGCCCGCCGGACCCGCCTTGCTGTGAGGACCGTGCCTGGGGTTCCAGTCCTGCGGGGCCCAAGCTCTGGGGAAATGCCCAGCAGTGAGAACGGCAATGAGAAGCCCCGACGTACAGACCCGTGGAAGGGCTGCCCCCGGGCTGCGCTCACCGGCACCGGGAAGCCTTCGTACTCCAGGCGGAGCTGGGGGTCCAGGAAGGCAGCCTGCCAACAGTTCAGGTAGGAGGGCTCATCGGTCAGGTACACCTCCTGGAGCCAAGACCTCTTCGACGATTTCAGCAGGGTCCTGTGATCACTCGATAAATACAGCTGAAAAGGATAGTGCGCGGATGAGCTACATCACAGAACCGGAGAAGCTGGGGGAGTGAACGGCCGACTGGCTGGGTGTCCGGCGCGTTCAGAAGCAGTTTTGGAAAATCCCATTCCTGCTGATAGTGAAAACACTCAGGTTTCCTCCACTTTAGAAATGTCATCTCAGAATACTGAGGCCACCCGCCCCCTCCCCACATCACCTCCACTGCTTTGCCTTCCTTTGGGTACCAAACCCACTCTCTCCTCCTCATCCCGTCCCTGCTCCCCATCCTCCTTTTCAGGGCTCAGGCCGGGACCACGGTTTTACTTCTTAGAAATGGTGTTGCACGAAACTTGTTGCATGAAGGGACCTCACAACCCACACCATCACAGCCGACATTTGCTGTGTGCCCCCGAGGGGGCCCATGCCCCACTGGAGCTGACGTCCACACGCGGGACTTATTTCGGCAGCTATCTGGCCACCTGTAACTGGGCCAAGAAGCACCCCATCCTGCAGAAAAGTCGGAAACGTTAGTTGCTTGTTAGTTCTTTACTGGTTGACCCTTCACCCTGAAGCTGGAGGCCGTTTTTGCCTGTTTCTGCAGGTTTTCATGTGCAAAGCTGTGCCATGAGGCGCTCGCTATGGGGAAGGCAGAAATGAGTTACTCTCTTCAAGGCTTTTCCTCACAGGCAGGAGAGTGACGGAGGATGGGACTGGAAGCACCTGTAAACACCTGGGAGGTATGGCTGGCCAGCAGGGGGGGAAGGGCGGCAGGCAGGCAGGCACAGGTGAGGACGGATGCTTGCCCAGGGGCGCAGGAGAGGCTCCGAGGAGGAGGCAGTGTGGTGCTGGGAGCCCGAGGGGCTGGCTGCACGTGGACAGGGACGGTGCGGACACATCACAGAGGGTCTTAAATACCACCATGAATAGCAGCACTAACCAAACTGAGCTCCTAGAGGATCAATCTGGCAGTGTGCATCTACCATGGTCTGAAGTCAGGACAGACAAGAGAGGTCAACCCATGGGGACCTGAACTGAGGTCCTGGCATTGGGGACGAAAAGACGGGCCCAAGAGCACTATGAAGGGAGACGCATGGGCATGACCATGAGCTGGACACAGGCAGGGAAGCGGGACAGGCCCAAGACACACTTAGGCTTGACTCTCGGTGATTGGGGAAATGTCGGGGAGATCCAGAGCAACTGGAAAACCCAGACTTCAAATGGCAAAGAGTATCTACCTCAAACCACAAACGCTGCTTTGTTAATGTAAAGAAAAATAATAATGAATCAGGCACAAATCTAGAAGGCCGGTATTCCCAGATTTTTTTTAGTGACTGCCCCGGAAACGCATGCTAATTCAAAGTTGAGGAACGGAAATAAGAGAATTTGAGAAGAGATTGAATCATCATCCCTTGAGAATGAAAGCACCGTCTACGGGAAGTCATAAGAAAATCAACTGGAAAACCATTGGAAATAATAAGAGTGAGGGATTTCATCAGAGGTGAGTCTGAACATCATTGGTGTTCTTATATTTTTGTTGCAACTGACTAAGGGCCTCCCTACAAGGAGCATCCACAATGGAAGATACCGTGGGAACAACCTTAGCGAGATCAGTGTCAAATCCATGGGAAGAAAACCACAAAACTAGAAAGAATAAATGAATAAATGGCGAGACATCTCAGAAAAAGAAGTGTCGTAAAGCACTAAATATGTGAATTTACGTAATTTTCCAGTGCCAATCAAAATGCCACATGCATTTTTTCCCCACAGGGGCAGAGGGATTTGCAAAAATAATTGCATTTAACTGAGAGGTTAATTCCTAATACAATTCAAAGAAGTGTCATGAGAGAGAACTAGCCGAATGAGCTGTCAAAATATATTATTATATTGTAAAGTACAATTCTAGAGTAAAAATACACAATTTGAGTTGAAAGGGCTAAAATAGGAAGCTCAGAGATAGCATGCAGTGTGTACAGTGATGGTAAGGGGGGCATTATGTGTCAGTGAGGGAAGGAACACTTATTCAAGAAATAACCCAAATGCAGCTGATTAGTCATTTGGGGGAAATCGCATGTCTGCATCGGAACCCTGTATCAAAATAAATCTCAAGCAGATAAAGAACAAACAGGAGCAAAAGTTAAACTTCAGACACCGAGAAGTCGATACAAGTTCTTCTTTTAAAGTCGATACAAGTTCTTCTTTTTATGGTATCTCTGGAGCAGACTTTATAGGGCACTGAGCAATGGAAGGAATTACGAAGGAAAACACGGATACATTTTACTCAAAAATATATTAGCACAATTATGCTTTAAAAGCCAAGTAGCCAAAAAAATAAAATTAAAAAAATAAAAATAATAAAAGCTAAGTAGCAAAATGGGTGGAAATATCACCTACAAAATGATAAAATGTTATAATCTATGGAAGAACAGATACATAAACACAAGTAAGTACAGGGACAGAGGACAGATGATTTATAGGAGACAAAGATGGGAGAATTAAGGACAGTATTGGGGGGAAGAGAAAAGGAGGGGGGGTGGAGAAAGAGAGAGAGATAGAGACCAGAAATGGTGTATCTACATGTTACAGTGCTTGTAACTTTCCCTGTATTTTAAATCTGTTTTGGGAAAATAAGAGTGTAAAAGAAAATAAGCCAAAATGTTAGTAGTGCTGATCTCTGGATAACACAACAGTGATTTACTCCCCCTCTTTCAACAATATGGTATTTTCTGTAATTTCTACATTTAAAATCAGGCTGCGCTTACCACCTATGGTATGTAGGGGTTTGATTGGCAACGCTGATTTGTCTTGGTGGCATAAAAGGTAATAATGTTACCTCAAGCTTTGATTCAGTGAGAAATGGTAAGTGGTACCCATCCTGCACTCGACAGCTGAGCGACTTGGGGCAAAATCACCTGACCTCGTGCCTCAGTTTCCCCATCAGTAAAATTGGGGTAAAATAGTCCCTAGCTCAAAGACTTGTTTGGATGATTAAGTGAATAGATGATAGATAGATGATAGATAGATAGATAGATAGATAGATGATAGATAGATAGATAGATAGATAGATGATAGATAGATGATAGATAGATAGATAGATAGATAGATAGATAGATAGATAGATAGATAGATATGGCATGTAGTAAGGTATAATAATCCCCATTTTATAGATGAGAAAGACTCAAAAAAGTTAAATGATTTATCTGAGGTCCCACCCCATACAGAGACATCTCAGCTAGAGTTAGACCCAAATTTATCTGGTTCTGTGACCCTCCTAATCCGCAAGGGGAAGAAAAAGATCAAGTTAAAAAAAAAAAAGTAAAAAAAAATAGTTATCGGGTAACATACCTTGCTAGCATTGGGGACATTGACCCCTGTGAGATGATGATTAATTAATCCAACCATTAACTTACAGATGAAGGTGGCATAAAGTTTTGCTTTCTGTCAGCTGCACTGCAGATTTTTCTCAATTACTCCTTAGCGTCTAAGGGTATATTTTTGTCATTCGAAAAGCTAGAAGGAAAGAAGTGGCCCGAGAGCCGCGGGCAGGGGCTCGAGAAGCCAGAGGTGGAGCACACACCTGCAGAGTCCTTGGTCCGCTTCCCTAGGCGGCCATGAGCCCACATGGAAACAAAAACTCCTGGCCCCAAACTGCCATGCACCGTGATGACTCACCATTCTGTCTTCAAATCCTCCCGTTATGGCAAGGCAGAAGTTCTGTCCATATCTAAGGACTTGACCCATGGCATTTCTGTCTGCACTGTCAGTGAAGAGTAAGCATCATGTCAACTCTATTAGAATCGTTCTACATTCTATTTGTTTGCATAGGCAATTTTGTTTATCATCAGTTTTCCTGATAATGTATATTCACACACATTAACTGGTTAAGTGGCTAAACGTTTTCAAAATGGTCCTTTTTTTGGGTTTTCAAATCCAGCTAGCACCCTGTCCCTGTCTCCTCGCACAGCCAGCGTGCGGAGCATCCCCTCTTTGTGAGCACGTCATGCTATCCTCCACTGAGGGATTCTGGTCGGGTGTGTGGACATCCTGATAAAGAGCCACACCTAATTAGGTGTACACACTTAATACAGTCTTCCCTCCTAATCCTCCAGGACACAGAAGCTGTGGTCAACTTTTATTTGTCTTGACATAAATTATCAGTATTCGAAGGAACTCTGAATTAAAGACTTAAAGGAGGGACGCCTGGGTGGCCCAGGTGGCTAAGCGCCTGCCTTCAGCTCAGGTCATGATCCCGGGGTCCTGAGATCAAGCCCCCCATCGGGTTCCTTGCTCAGTGGGGATCCTGCTTCTCCCTCTGCCTCTGCCCGCCGCTCCCCCTGCTTGTGCTCACTCTGTCTCTCTGACAAATAAATAAAATCTTTAAAAAAAAATAAAGACTTAAAGGACTGGCTATATTCTTGTCATCTGAACATTGCTATCATTATTTAAGTAACAAAGTAAAAGCAATACTTTTTCATTGTTATTATGTATCTGTTCTCTAAGGATTTAGTTGCCTATTTCAAGATCCCAACTACATTTTTGGTAAATAATTAATTATAAAATAACAAATCCCAGTGCAAGTGCCACCTTGCACAGAACTATTTTTGTTCTAAAAATAGCAACATTAAGCACACCGAAAACACTCAAATGAGCTCAAAGCATCCGCAGATGTTATTAGGAAAACCCAGCTTCTAGGCAGAATATGATTTTAGTTTCCTAGATCCAATACTTTTGAATGAAGTGTTTATAACTGAACACAAATTAGCAGTGATCCTGCTGTTCAAGGTGAAGGGCGTGTAAAGGCCCCCCCAACAGTAATCCCCGGGGGAGACGGCAAGACGGGACCAGCACAGACCCTCTCCTATCACCTTTACCTCCAGACAGCACGGCTCCAGTCCCAGGGCTTCCTGAAGCTCTGAGTGAAAACATATTTATGATAAACGTGAGCTGAAAATTGAAGTTTCTCTACCTCAAAATGATAAAAGTGTTTCTGCCAACGGGGATCTTGGTTGGAGCTGCGCTCAGGCCACAGGGCACCTCTAAGTCGTCACTCAGGTGGGCTTTAATTTCATCCGGAGTCATGCACAGGCTCAGGTCCCCACCCAAAAACAGATCAGCTTCTGTCTCAGGGTAGTCAGGATTCACAAGCATCACTTTGTCACCACAGTGAACGTATCCATCCTCAGTTATGGAAAGCTGCATCTACAATTTAAATAGTTTTTCAAACCAACCATGCACGTCCTCACCAGCCAGTGCAGAGACCACTGCCAGATGCACCTTCTTTCCTTCACTGTCAAGGACCCATTTCGAGAGGGGTCATAGCATTCGGATGACTTGTGATAACTCAGGTTCCCTCAAGTCCTTCATTTTCTTCCTTTCCCTGCTGCCAACCCCCTCCCACTTTGCCAAAGTCCCCCCAAAATCCCAAACGAAGTAAGGAAATCACACGAGCTGACTCCACTATTAATTTATTCAAACTTCCTGGAAATGTCTTGAGCACCCAACTAAGGGGCGTTTTACAGATTCCTGTACTGATCCGCTCATTTCTTATTTTGGAAAATGCGGGTAAACATAATTAAGAGCAGATTTCTCCTCTGTTTCTAAAATCTTAGGGAATTTTAAACATTGTGGTTTTCAGATCTAAAGGGAAAAAACCCGGTATTTTCCAAATGATAATTCATTTATGGAACGTTTGCTTGCTTAACATACATTCACACCTAATTCGATAGAATTTTGAAAACAGTGCTTAAATTTAAAATTACCGGTCTCAAAAGATTCTCTTTGAGTCTCCTGTTTCTCTGTATGAGAAGCTGTCCCTTATCTCTCTTCTCCAAGAAGTCCTTCATGACCTCCTGGTGAAAGAGAAAATGAAGGAAAACACAAAAAGTCTACAATAGTCCTCAATTTATAGACACTGGTAGCTTACAGGTCCAAAGCACATCAAGCTGAAAAAGCAAAATTTGAGAAAAAGAAATGTGAGCGTAATGGGAATGGTGGAAATTGGTTTAGCTTTATTTTAATCTTTTTACTCCTTTGTAGAATGTTTGAAAAAATGAGGAAGACACACACAAAAAGACAAAGAAACATCATCCTCCATTACTCCATCCGGAGACAATCATGAATAACATTTGGAGGCCATGTGTCCCCAGCAGAGGTCTCCCCTGGTTATCCACCCCTACCCCCACCCCCAGCTAGATGGGACACCTGATGGCCCAAGGCCTTGTCTGAGTGTAATGTCAGGGAAAAGGACACCACAGGGACACCTAAGAGGGTGTGTGTATGATGGGGTGGGGGAGTGGGAGAGGGGGAGTGCCTTCACATAGAGCCTGCCTCCTCCTCACCCCGACCTCAGCCTCTGAAACCCTGAAGTCTGTAGGGATGGAGAGAACTTGTTAGGGCACGCTAAGGGAGAGGCACAGAGTTTGGGAGACCAAGGGACCCCTAGAGAGAGTGGCAGGGTGTGAGACCTGGGTTTGTGGGACCGCCGGTGAACTTCCCAGGGCGTTCAGATCCGGGTGGGATGTTAGAGGTATTGGGTGTCTGCTGAGTGAGAAAGGAGGCCCCGGCGGGTCGGAAGGTCCCTGAGGAGTGGGCCAGCCGCGCCGGCCACACCTGCGTACCTCCTCCAGGTAGATGTCCTCGTTCCAGTTGCCCATTCGCACTCGGGGACCATACAGGTTCTTCGCCATCCTGCGGTCTCAGCGGCCAGCGGGCCGGCTCCCTCCGCCACCTGCAGTGTTAGCGTGCCTCGTCGCCGTGGCAACCGGCCCAGAGCGATTGGCCAGGTGCGGGGCCTGCTGGCCAATCAGTGGCAGCCCAGGAGCCTGGGGGGGGAGGGGCGCGTGGCCGGGGGTGGGGGGCGCTGGAGGGATGGGGGGAGAAAGGGCGGCCCCCTCTCCGCCTGGAGTCCGTGATTTCCCCTGAATTTAATTGCAATGCAGGCAGGTGGACGAACTCCAACCCTCAGGTGCTAAACATTTAAAACATTTTTTCCTTCTTTCTTTTTTTTAATCCAAACGAAAACTGCCCTGCAAGTAAAGTATCCCTCACTTGTTGAGACAGCAAGGAGGAGCTTTTGAACGGACCCACCTTAACCCTAAGACAGTGCATCCTCCAAGCGGAAATTTGGAGACCAAAGTAACATGGAGGAAAGAGGGAAGGGAGAATTACTCACGACGTCAGTGCCTCAAAAGTGAGAAATCTACCCTGTTAGCATCTTTCTGTTTGCAGGGTTGAGGCAGTCCTATCTCTATGGGTTTTACAGCATTCCCCCCTCCTCCTCTTCCTCCAGTCTCCATGCGACAGGACAAGCCTGTGGCTTGCAAGAACTCTTGATAAACCTAGAATATGCAGGAGCCAACGTTTTTTGGTTTTGGATTTTTGGGTTTTTTGTTTTGTTTTGTTTTGTTTTGTTTTGTTTTGTTTTGTTTTAATGCTGGAGCCAATGTTTTTAAAGCAGTATTTTATGATTAGGAAGAACAGGCAGTTGCCTTCGGACTACCTGGAGCTTGCTGCTGACGGAATGCACTTGGTAGTTGACCTTGCTTAGTGTCTCTTAAGATAGCACAGTCATGAAGGATTCACATCCTTTCCTCCCTCCAGCAAACTCAATCTAAAAGAGAAGGTAATTCATGAAAACAAATCGCCATAGGAAGAATGGGACAAGTGGCTTTGCAGATGTGCTGATGAGGGGCCGTAGGAGTGCAAGGAAAGGTTCGTTTCTGCCTCCGGGACGTGAGGGAGTGAGAATCAGGAAGGATGCCTGGGGGAGACAGCTGGGGCAGGGGCATTTTGCAGCTGGCCCGGAAAGGGTCTCAGCTGACGGGTTGCAGCACTGGGTGCGGATGGGACGTTCTCTCACCCTCTGAGTCCGCTAGCTCTGCCAGTCCACCAACACGTTCTAGGACACTTCAAAAGCCTAAGTGGGACAAAGACAGTCACATAGTATCCTGCTGAAACGGTTGATAAATTAAGACATTGAGGCTCAAAGGAGCTAACATCTCCTCCAAGTTCAAAGTGCTAAAAGTTGCTCAAGACAAAGACTCAACCTGATTTTCTGATTCCAAAGTTCACGCTTTCTCTGTGTTTCCATATTCCCTATAAAATCAGGAATATCATTACGCAACTTTGGTCTCCAGGTAATTTAATAGAGTTCTTAGGAGTCAGTTATTTGGTAAGACCTTATGCCGAGGGAGCTTTGCTCTCATCTACTTCCCTTGTGCCATTACTGGGAAATGAGTTACATCGCTGGTCATTATAGGCCCAGCAAACCCTATCTACGTGTTGTTTTGTGAAATGGCTTTTTAATTCAGTCAGGAGAAAGATACAACCACACGATTATGTAATTACAGACGGACTCGTCTTTGCTGACGGTCTTCGTTGTTTTGGGTGGGTACAGCTTACTGCCCGGTGTAACCTGCTTCCCCCGAACACCCTCTGTGTTTCTGTAAAGGCAGACTAGCAACACATTCTCTCAGCCTTTACTCACCTGCCTATTTCGCCTTCAGTTTTGTAAGATAGTTTACTGGATACAAGATCCTTGGTTACAGTTTTTCCTTTCAACACTTTAAATATGTATTCTCCGGCCTTCTGACCACCACTGTTTCTAGGGAAAGAAGTCAACCATTAACCTCATCGGGGTTCCCGTGTGTGTCTGTGAAGGGTCACGTGCGGTCTTCTGCTCTTGAGATGCTCTGTGGCTTTGTCTTTCATCACTTGACTGTGGTCTGGGGGGCCTTGCCTCCTGTCCATCCCACGTGGAAGTCATTGAGCTGCCGGAATGTGTAGATTGTTTTTTTCATCAAACGTGGGATTTGCCATTATTTCTTTGAATATCTGTCTGCTCCTTCCTATCTCTCCTCTCCTTCTGGGACCCTATTATGTGTATGAGGGTGCACTTCATTAGGTCCTACAGTCCTCTACGACCTCTATGACCCTATTCAATTGTCTTCCTTCTTTTTTTCTCTCTGGTCTTCAGATTGCATCATTTCTGTTGCTTTTTCTCAGGTCTTGCTTTCTTTTAGGCCAGCTCAAATCTACAGTTCCACCTGTCTAGCGAGTTCTTCATTTTGGTCACAAGCTTTTCAGCTCCAGAATTTCTGCCTGGCTCTTTTCTATCGTTTCTTCATCAATAGTCTATATTTAGGGGCGCCTGGGTGGCTCAGTTGGTTAAGCGACTGCCTTCGGCTCAGGTCATGATCCTGGAGTCCCGGGATCGAGTCCCGCATCGGG